GCAGTGACGAATTTCAGCCTATAGTGTAGATGTTTAGTGTACATTTTTGTTCAGTGTACAGTATGTAAAAATAAATGCCACGCCTATAAGGCTGATATCTAAATAAACCTCAGGCTGGAGTTAAGTAAATAAATACGGTAATTAGATTGAACATGACGCTGACGGTTTTAAATCATATTTTAATTGAAGTGAAATCATCTATTTCACAATAAGGCGAATTAGAAACTGCCTAAAAAACTCGAATACGGAATAATGAATAACGAGAAAAATTTAAAAATGAATAATGAATAACCTCGAAAAAAATGAAAGGAATAATGAATAAGTGAGATCCAATTATTCCGCTTCCACCCCCGAGTCCATTAGAGAAAGAACTTCAACAACATTATGGGAGAAATGCTACGCCGTGTACTTTGCAAGCGATGTTTCGTCTTGTTACGCGTCACTTAACTGCCAGACAAAGCTGTGCTGTTTTGAACACGCAAATGTTTTCCTTCGTCTGATTGTATAACATGGCACTTAGAGCCAGTCGTTCAAACTAAGTCTGACTTGGGCTGCGGTTTTAGTCAGTCGATAGACTCGTAGACTTTTCCATAAGTTGTTGTTTGAATTAAATTTTTCCAGTCTTGCCCCGAGGCCTTCGTGATACTGTTCACAAAAATCAACATGTAGATGAAACTTCTGGCTAGATTGAAGATGGAATAGAACCCAGTTGTGCTAAACTGCACCTTAACTTTGTTTTGTTTGAATAACCAACCCTCGATGTCTGCTCGCTCAGGGAACAGTAAGTTTTGTTTTCTCTCGGGTCTTAACGTTCCCCTCGACTTCGACTCTAGAAAAACTAAAACTCATGGTAAAATAGAACAAACTGGACATGGTTTGATGCTACTCTTGTTTAGAGATTTAATGAATGTAACCGGAGAAATTACTATTCATCGACCCAACGTTTCGACACTCTTGTTTGGTGCCTTCATCATAAGACAGGAGTGTCGAAACGTTGGGTCGATGAATTGTAATTTAACCGGTTACATTCTTTAAATCTTTAAACCAAAGTAGTATCAAACCCTGTCTAATTGTCCAGCTGGTTGCTTTGTGAACTTTAATTTATCTAAGACTAATTGTTTACCTCGGGAGCAGACACTTAATATCCACTTGCTTAGCAACAGCACAATCTACTTCACCGCCCGCCTACTCACCTTGAGCAAAGGTATTGCATGTTTGCGGTATTTAATTTTCGGATTTTTTTTTTTGTTTACCTCTATTGGATTTAATTTAGCGGATTGAAGCAAATCTGTAAAAGAAAGCGTGCGAAGCTTCATGCCAAACGGTGACTAGTGACGTTTAATTATTTCAGTCAAAAGACCAATACTGCCTCTCAAAGAAATTTAAAACGTGATTAATTTAGAGTATAGTTCACTAACAGAAGCAGTCGATTGTGAAATGTGAACCCGA